CACTCATTACTTCTATTTTTTTTAAAATGATATTTATTAAAGTTTCGATAAAAGATTAAACATAAAACATGAAAAAGAAATACACAATTCAAAAATACACAATACATAATCCAACAGAAAAAAATAAAAATAAAAAAGGAACAAAAAAACAAAAGACAAAAAAGAAAATAGAACAATTAAAAACAATATCACCTTTTCCTCTCCATTTTAAAATTTACTTATTTTCTGGACCTCCTCGTACCTCCCTCTTTTGTATTCCAGTTCAAATTGTTTGTCCAGCGATTTCTTTCCCTCTTTTTTAATCCCAATCTTTACCCTTAATATAATATAAAAATTTTACCTTTTAAAAACCAAATTTCCATTTCCTTAAATTTTTTTAATCCTAATCCTTAATCTTAATCTATCCATAACTTTAAATCCTGAACAGCTGGAAGCCACTTATTTTTAATCCAACATCACTCTAGCATTCTTTAATTTTGCAATGTTTCTGCAGATAGTCTTTGAATTTCTTCCAATCTTCCTCCACCGACTCTTCTCCCTGGTCACGGATTCTACCAGTCATTTCCGCCAGTTCCATATAGTCCATCAGTTTCATCTGCCATTCCTCCAGTGTGGGAAGCTCTTGTGTCTTCCAATACTTTGCAATGAGTATTCTTGCTGCTGTTGTTGCATACATAAAGAAAGTTCTATCCTTTTTTATCACCATTTGGCCGACTATGCCCAGGAGAAAGGCCTCTGGTTTCTTAGGGAAGGTATATTTGAATACCTTTTTTAATTCATTATATATCATTTCCCAGAAAGCCTTAATCTTTGGGCATGTCCACCAAAGGTGAAAAAATGTACCTTCAGTTTCTTTACATTTCCAACATTTATTATCGGGCAAATGATAGATTTTTGCAAGCTTGACTGGAGTTATGTACCACCTGTATATCATTTTCATAATATTCTCTCTTAGGGCATTACATGCCGTAAATTTCATACCTGTGGTCCATAACCGTTCCCAGTCAGCGAACATAATGTTGTGTCCAACGTCTTGTGCCCATTTAATCATAGCCGATTTTACCGTTTCATCCTGAGTGTTCCATTTCAGCAGCAAGTTATACATTCTTGACAAATTCTTAGTTTTGGGTTCTAACAGTTCAGTTTCTAATTTTGATTTTTCCACCTGGAAGCTGTTGTGTATTGAGTCAAAGGATTTTATATCTGTATTATTATTGTCTGTATTTGCATTAGGGTAAAGTAACTGCCTTTTGGTTCCAGAGGGTACAGCTACTATTGGTTCATTTAAGCTGCTGTATTTGGATCCTCTGTCTTATTGGTTCCCTCCAAAAGGCAGGACTGTGATTGCCTGATATTGTTCCCTCCAAAATGTATCCTTTCTTGCTAGTTCCCTGTCCCTATAAATGTAGCTTTCCTCTCCCCAGTCTTTAGTCTTGTTGCTTTAATAAAGAAGTGTTACTAGAGAACTGTCTCCAGCATGTTATATCAGGAGAGCTGAAATCACAAACCCCACGTCACAACAACTGGCGACGAGGATGGGATCCGGAATGCTGAGGAGCGGTTAAACGCAGCCCTGCCTCAGAGTCCGGATTGCAGCTAAGAACAAGACTCACTGGCCAGCTGAGAAGACGACCCTGCCACAGGACAATGGAGAGTCCAAGGGTATTGGAGCCCTTCCAGCCATCAGAGCCCGACACGTGGGAAGACTACGTCGAACGCTTCGAGTTCTTCGCAGAGGCTCAAGGGATCACCGATGCCAGCAAAAGAAGGGCCACATTCCTGAGCTACTGTGGGCCTGAGACCTTCAAGCTGGCCAAGGCATTGCTTGCTCCAGCGAAGCTAAGTGAGACATCTCTCAAAGATATTCTTGCCTGCCTAACAAGCCACTTGGCGCCTACTGAGACCAAGATGGCTCGGCGGATGGAGTTTCATAAGAGGCAGCAGCATGCTGGGGAGTCTGTATCTGCATTTCTGGCTGAACTGCGGAAGCTCGCTCAGCACTGCGACTTCCAAAATCTGGAAGAGACTCTCCTGGATCGGTTTATCGGTGGTCTGAGCAGCAAGAAGGCCAGAAGACGCATCGTGGCTAAAGAAGAGGTTACCCTTGCTTCAGCCTTGAAGGAGGCCACCGCCACGGAGAATTATGAAAGAGAGGAGCTTGATGCCAGTCGCAAGGCCCCTAAGCCACAGATAGAAGTTGCGCATGCCATGGACGAGCTAGAGGCTACTCCGAGCCAGAGCCCAGTCCGTGGGGTCGAGTCAGTGAGTCAGGCCTGCACAGTGCACAAAGATCACCGAGGCAGGTGCCCAGGTTGTGGCGGAAACCATGAGCGGAAGAGTTGTCGTTTCCGGGATGCTATGTGCCGGACGTGCGGGAAGACAGGTCACATCGCCAGGGTCTGTAGATCGGCGGCGTTGGGAGCGACAGGAGCACCTAGACCGGAGCATCGCAGACCGCCCGCAGCAACCCATTTTCTAAAGGACTGCCACTACGTTACGGAGATCAACGGGAGGGTCGTGCAGTTCCCAGCACAAGGCAAGGCACACGTCAAGGTGAAGATTGAGGGTCAGCAGTGCGACATGGAGGTGGACTCCGGATCTGGATTCACTATCGTGTCGGACCAGACCGCGAGGACATTCTTCCCCAGGGGTAAGTTGCCCCCTCTGGAACCCTTCCCGGCAACCTTGCAGTCATACTCAGCGGGCCGCATCCATGTTATGGGAATGTGTGCCGTGAGAGTACAGTTCCGGGACAAACAGGCTGTACTCAAACTGGTGATTGCGAAGGGCAGTCGCCCCAGTCTCCTGGGCACTGACTGGTTCCCCGCCCTGGGACTGAGTATATCAGGGCTTAATTCAATCCAAACCTGCCCTGAGATGAGCGAGGCATTATGCAAAGAATTTGCTGGTCTCTTTAATGGAAAACTGGGTTGTTATAAAGGGCCCCCAGTTGACTTCGAGTTGGACCCTGGGGTGGCCCCAATCCGACTCAAACCAAGGCGAGTGCCATTTGCACTGCAACCCAAGATCGAAGCAGAGCTGGATAAATTGGTCAAGCAGGGAGTTCTCTCACCCGTGGACTCTGCTAAGTGGGAGACTCCAATCGTCACGCCCCTTAAAGCAAATGGGGAAGTCAGGATCTGTGCAGATTACAAATGTACTATCAATAAGGCACTCAGGGAAACTCATACCCCATTCCAGTCGTATCACATCTGTTGGCTAAACTGGCTGGGGGCAAGGTGTTCGCCAAAATTGACCTGGCACAAGCTTACCAACAGCTGCCAGTAACCCCACAATCAGCGGAAGCACAGACTATTGTCACACATAAAGGGGCGTTCAGAGTTAACAGATTACAATTTGGAGTTTGTGTGGCCCCAGGGATTTTTCAAGGGCTCATGGAACACCTGTTAAGAGGTCTGCCGGGGGTCTTGCCATTCTTGATGACGTTTTGATTGCTGGAAAAGACCCACAGGAACTGGTTGCGCGTGTTCGTGCAGTGTTGCTCAAGTTCAAGGAGGTGGGGTTGCAACTGAAAAAGGAAAAATGCAGTTTTGGGGTGCCAACTGTGGATTTCTTGGGGTTTAAAATTGATGCATCAGGCATCCACCCCACAGATGCTAAGATTAAGGCCATCATCGAGGCGCCACGACCACAGAACAAGACGGAGTTGCAGTCATTCCTGGGACTTATTAACTTTTATCATTCGTTCTTACCCCAGAAAGCTTTGGTAGCTGAACCATTACATAGACTGTTGCAGAAACAGACTGTGTGGCGATGGGGGCAGGGGCAGCAGAAGGCTTTTGACTCCTTGCGAGGAATGCTGAGTAGCAGGAGTGTCCTTGCTCATTATGACGAGTCAAAGCCTCTGGTCCTGGCATGTGATGCCTCTCAATACGGCCTGGGGCGGTGCTAAGTCATATGGAACCGGATGGGTCGGAAAAGCCCATCTCATTCTATTCCCGTACGTTGTCGCCCCCGGAGCGCAACGATGCTCAAATTGACAAAGAGTCTCGTGCAAGTGTGGCAGGAATCTAAAAGTTCCATGATTATGTGTACGGTCGCCATTTCTACATTGAAACGGACCACAAGCCACTGTTAGGGTTGTTCAACCCGAACAAACAAACGCCACAAATTCTCTCCCCCAGAATGTTACGTTGGTCTATATTCCTGAACGGGTTCCAGTACACCTTGACCCATGTGCCGGGGAAACGGTTGTGCCACGCGGATGCGCTGAGTCGATTGCCCCTTCCTGGCGGGAGCACTGAGGATCCTGCTCCAGCGGAGCACATAATGATGCTGGAAACACTTCCGGGGGCTCCTGTAACGGCTACTGATATAGCTGAGAAAACGAGGAAAGATGCTGTTCTCTCCCGTGTGCTCACTTGGGTGGGGAGGGGGTGGCCAGGTGGTCCGCATGAAGACAAATTCAGGCCTTATGCGACTAGGCAGCACGAGTTGTCCATGCATAAGGGTTGTCTCCTGTGGGGAGATAGGGTCATCATCCCAGCACCACTGAGAAACAGGGTTCTTGAGACGCTTCACATGGGACACCCGGGAATGGTCAGGATGAAGTCGCTAGCCCGATGTTATGTGTGGTGGCCTGGAATGGACCAGAACATAGAACAATGGGTACGAACATGCAAGGCATGCCAAGAGGTGCGGCCAGAAGTGGCCAGAGCACCAGTCCACTGGTGGGAGCAGTCCAGATCTCCCTGGAGCCGGCTGCACTTAGATTTTGCTGGGCCATTCCAAGGAAAGGTCTTTTTGGTTATCGTTGATGCATATTCCAAATGGTTAGAAGTGGCGATGGTCCCTAGCATGGCATCAGCTGCCGTCATCAAGGTGTTGAGGCAGCTGTTTGCAACCCACGGGTTACCTGAGACCATTGTATCAGATAATGGGGCAGCTTTTGTATCCCAAGAATTCAGGGCATTCTTGGCTGATAACTTCATAAGAGGGGTCACATCCGCGCCCTTTCACCCATCCTCCAATGGGCAGGCTGAGCGCATGGTAAGAACAGCCAAAGAATCCATTGCGCGCTTAATGGAGGGTAACTGGTCAGCTCGCATCGCGCGAATGTTATTTTTGCAGCATGCGACGCCGTGTACCGCAACGGGCAAGTCGCCAGCTGAGCTGCTCTTGGGTAGGAGACTGGTAACGGTGCTGGATTATGTCCACCCGGATAAAATGCCAAACCATAATTCAAGAGCAACCCCCCAGGCTGAGACTGACACAACAAGGTATCTCGCCCCTGAAGATCTGGTCTGGGTGAGGAACTATTCACGAGGTTCGCGGTGGGTGGCTGGTGTGGTCACCCGGGCTAGTGGACCTGTGTCCTATTATGTGACCTTGGAAAATGGGCAAGTGTGGAAGAGACATATAGATCAGCTGAGGCGCCGGGCGCTCAGCAGGGAGGAGCCAGATAATTCATCCCTGGCTAACGACGCAGAGCTGCAAGACCAGAGTGAAAATGGCCCAGAGGTGCAATCACCAGGGGCTTTAACAAATGAACCAGGGTCTGCTAGTCCTCACGATGACGAGGTACAGATAGGGGACCCTGAGATGTCGGGGACTCCATCTGTTCCTGACGAAACCCCTAGAGCAGCCCCTCTACCACAGGTAACACCCAATCCAGAACCTGCAACACCTGTTGTCAGGAGATCAAGTAGAAGTTGTAGGCCCCACAGTACCTGAGAGATTACGTCTGCTGTGCTCACTAGGGGGGAAGGGGTGTTGTGTATTGAGTCAAAGGATTTTATATCTGTATTATTATTGTCTGTATTTGCATTAGGGTAAAGTAACTGCCTTTTGGTTCCAGAGGGTACAGCTACTATTGGTTCATTTAAGCTGCTGTATTTGGATCCTCTGTCTTATTGGTTCCCTCCAAAAGGCAGGACTGTGATTGCCTGATATTGTTCCCTCCAAAATGTATCCTTTCTTGCTAGTTCCCTGTCCCTATAAATGTAGCTTTCCTCTCCCCAGTCTTCAGTCTTGTTGCTTTAATAAAGAAGTGTTACTAGAGAACTGTCTCCAGCATGTTATATCAGGAGAGCTGAAATCACAAACCCCACGTCACAACAGAAGCCAATTTTCTTGTCCAATTTAAATGCCTCCATTATCTGAAAATAATGAAGCCAGTCTTGCACTTTGTTTTTTAGTTTTTCAAAACTCTGCAATTTCAGTCTATCGCCATCTTGTTGCAAAATTTCCCAATATTTCGGCCATTTGACCTCCATATTGAGCTTTTTCAAGGCTTTCGCTTCCATTGGTGACAGCCACCTTGGGGTTTTGTTTTCTAATAAATCCTTGTATCTTATCCATACATTAAACAACGCTTTCCTGACAATATGGTTTTTAAATGCTTTATGTGCTTTGACCTTATCATACCATAGATATGCATGCCATCCAAATACATTGTTAAAACCTTCTAGGTCCAAAATGTCAGTGTTTTCAAGAAGTAGCCATTCTTTCAACCAGCAAAAAGCTGCTGATTCATAGTAAAGTTTGAGGTCTGGCAGGGCAAATCCACCTCTTTCCTTTGCATCTGTTAGTATTTTAAATTTTATTCTGGGCTTCTTGCCCTGCCAGACGAATCTAGAAATGTCTTTCTGCCACCTCTTGAAACAGTCCATTTTGTCCACAATTTGCAAAGTTTGAAACAAGAACAACATTCTAGGCAATACATTCATTTTTATCGCAGCAATACGGCCCAGCAGTGAAAGCTTCAAATTTGACCAAATTTCTAAATCTTTTTTCACTTCCACCCAACATTTTTCATAGTTATCTTTAAATAGGTTCCCATTTTTTTGCAAAAAATTCACACTCATTACTTCTAATGGCGATAACCAGTGTGGTGTTTTTTGTTCCAATAGGTTTTTATACCTATCCCATATTTCTATTAGAGATCTTCGAAATATTTGTTTTCCAAATCCTCTATGGACTTTTGCTTTATTATACCATAGATATGCGTGCCAACCAAATCTATTATCATAACCTTCTAAGTCTAACAAATCTGTATCTTCTAATACCATTCATTCCTTTAACCAACAGACAAGATGCTTCATAATACAATTTCAAATCTGGCAGGGCGAAGCCTCCTCTTTCTTTAGCATCTGTTAATAACTTATACTGTATTCTCGGCTTCTTCCCCTGCCAGATATATCTTGAAAATGTTTTTTGCCATTCTTTAAAAATTGTAGCCCCTTTGATTATTGGAATTGACTGAAACAAAAATAACATCTTTGGTAGCACATTCATTTTCATAGCAGAAATCCTTCCCCAAAATGACAATTTCACCCTTCCCCATATTTCCAGATCTCTTTTAATTCCATTCCAGACCGGTATATAATTATTATGGGAAAGGTCAATGTTTTTAGTAGTTAACCAAATTCCTAAATATTTAACTTTTTTGACCGCTTCTATACCAATTTGTTGCTGCAACACTTCCACCAGGTCCTGCTTCATATTTTTAACAATCATTTTAGTTTTCTTTTTGTTCAATTTAAAACCTGCCACTTGCCCAAACTGTTCTATCTCTTCTAACACTTCTTTAGCACTTGTAGCTGGATTTTCTAATGTTAGTACTAAGTCATCGGCAAAGGCTTTCACTTTATACTCATTCCGACCGACTGAAATTCCCGCCATGCCTCCCGCTGCCGCCATGCCGCTACCGCACGATCCCTGTTCTCATCCTGAAGCAAAGTTCTTAACCCGAGGTACTATTTCTGGGTTAGCGGAGTCTGTAACCTGAACCGTATGTAACCTGAAGTGTATGTAACCTGAGGTACTACTGTAAAAGCCAAGCAATAAGTCAGTTAATTGTTGCTGAGTCTCAGCTTCAGGATCTGTCCTTCGAGTGAGCACTCAGAGCTGATTACCTTAAGAATGGATAGGTTTCCTTAAGAATGTCAGTTAATACCAGCCAACAAAGGCAGTGAAAACTATAGTAAGGCCTCACATCTAACTTTCTTCAGTTCTTCCTCTATCACAAGGATTCATTAACATTGTTCAATAATCTGGAGCTCCATTTCGTCCTGAGGCTCTAATTAGCTTCTCTCTTCATTGCAGATGGTGATGAATTGGAAGGGAAGAACCAGGAGGACCAGAACAGAATCCACATAGTGGAGAAGTCATATAAATATTCAGAGTGTGGAGAGAACATCCGCCAAAGCTCCCAGACCACCTCCCATCAAAGAAAATGCTTCGTACGGAGGGATAGCCTCACTTCACACAAAAGAACAAAGAGTAGGGAGAAATTGTATCAGTGCTTGGAATGTGGAAAGAGCTTCAGTCACAGTCACCATCTCACTTCCCATCAACGAATTCATATAAAGGAGAAACCTTATCAGTGCTTAGAGTGCGGAAAGAGCTTCAATCAGAAGGATAGTCTCATTTCCCATCAAAGAATTCATACAGGAGAGAAACCCTATCAGTGCTTGGAGTGTGGGAAGAGCTTCAGTAGGAAAAATCATCTCACTTCACATCAAACAATTCATACAAACGAGAAACTCCATCAGTGCTTGGAGTGTGGAAAGAGCTTCAGTCAGAGGGTGAATCTCGTTTCCCATCACAAAATTCATACAGGGGAGAAACCATATCAGTGCTTGGAATGTGGGAAGAGCTTCAGTAAAAGGGCACATCTCACTTCCCATCAAAGAATTCCTACAGGGAGAAACCCTATCTGTGCTTGGAATGTGGAAAGAGCTTCAGTTACAGCCACCATCTGACTTCCCATCAAAAAATTCATACAGGGGAGAAACCCTATCAGTGCTTGGAATGTGGAAATAGCTTCAGCCGGAAGGATCATCTCATTTCCCATCAAAGAATTCATACAAAGGAGAAACCATATCAATGCCTGGAATGTGGAAAGAGCTTCAGACTCAGGCACAGTCTCACTTCCCATCAAAGAGTTCATACAGGGAGAAACCCTATCAGTGCTTTGAATGTGGAAAGAGCTTCAGTCAGAGCTCCAATCTCTCTTCGCATCAAAAAATTCATACAAAGGAGAAACCATATCAATGCCTGGAATGTGGAAAGAGCTTCAGTCACAGGCACAGTCTCAATTTGCATCAAAAATTTCATACAGGGGAGAAACCATATCAGTGCTTTGAATGTGGAAAGAGCTTCAGGAAGGGGTCTCAGCTCTCTTCCCATCACACAATTCATACAGGGGAGAAAGCTTTTCAATGTCATGAATGTGGAAAGAGGTTCAGTCGAAGCGACAATCTCACAAACCATCAAAGAATTCATACAGAGGGGAAACCAAAAAGGAAAAAAATTTAAACCCTTACAAAACACAAGTGTATAAAAAAAAGAGAAGGGGCAGAATAACTAAAAATACCCTTTATCACATTTGTATCATATATATCATGTCATTTATCAACCCATAGAAAGGCAGGCTCCCCCAGCTCTCCCCTGGGTGCCCCCCTCTTTTCACCATCTTCCACCCTGAGATCCTTCCTTCCCTGCGTTCCTTGCAGGTCCCTCCCCCCCTCCAACTGTCCTCTTCCTGTTTTATATAATTGTAAAACCTTTATTATACCGAAATCTTAAAAATACATACAATATAAAACATATTCAAACATTACAGATTATGAATACGCAAAAAGTATAAATGAAAGAGAAAAAAGAAGTAGAAAAAGAATAGGAAATGATGTTATTTACGATAAAGAAAAGCCTTCCAACTATACCCATTGTACTATTTTGAACTAATTTTTTTTACAGTTTCCTAAATCTCCCCCCCCCCCCCATCTCACATTCTCCTTTTTGGTTCTAGTTTTCTCCAATATTTCCGTATATTACAAGACTCATTCGATATCTGCCATAAAGCTTTTGTTATCACAGTAAACTTTAAGGTATTCTTTAATTACTATCCATTCTTTACTAACATCTTGTATCGTATTTCCTCTTACTGCTCCGGTTATCCTTGCTAACTGTATGTATTCTAGCAATTTGGTTTGCCATTTGAGTTTTGAGGGGATGGTTTCTCTTTTCTGATTTTTTGCAGTTAGAATCCTGGCAGCAGTTGTGACGTACATAAATAAATGGTCTGCTTGTCTTCTTGATTTCCATTGTTATGATTCCTGACAAAAAGCCACTGGTCTCTGCAGGACAGGCGGCCACCCAACTTCCACATCAAAGTCTCCAGCAAAGGAGAGTCAGGAATCGCACCCGCAGGTGGTCTTCTGGGCCTTGCTGCGCAGCCCACAGGGGACCTCCGCATAAACCCACAAGTGCAAACATGCACACGGAGGGCCCCCCACCTGCCACATGGAGCACAACCGGGAAGATACGGGATTGGGGGGGCAACTCCCATCTCTTGCGGGGGTGCAATTAGTGCCAGCACCGTCCGTTAAGAGTTTGGGTGTAATCTTCGATACCTCCCTCTCTATGGAGGCGCAGATTACAGCTATAACAAAGGCGGCATTTTTTCATCTCCGCCAAGCTAAGCAGTTGGCCCCTTATCTCTCTCGCCCTGACCTAGCCACTGTGATCCACGCGACGGTCACCTCCAGACTGGATTATTGTAACTCGCAATACGTGGGGCTGCCCTTGAGACTGACCCAGCCAGATGGGCGGGGTATAAATAAATAAATAATAATAATAATAATAATAATAATAATAATAATAATAATGCAGCTCTGGCACCCTACACAGTCATTTTAAATTATCCTAAACCCTAAGAGTTTAAAATAGATAGGTAATTGACAGACGTAGATGATATATAGATATCGGTATCGGGAAGCTGCCAGATGCCCCCCTTGTTTGGGCCTGTGATGGACAGCAGAGCCAGGCCAGTCAGTGGATTCAGTCCCTCAGAAATCCCACCAGGAGGCTGCTGGAGCCTCGCTCTGATTGGCTCCCAAGCCAGCGGGGGTGGAGCCAGCACTTTTGGCGGGAAAATGAAAGGCGCCTTTTCTGAGGGAGGGAGAAAGGGGGAGAGGGATGGTCTGAGGGGGGACCTTGGAGGGGAAGGTGGGGAGGAGAATCTGTCTGGGGAGAGGAGTCAGGTGGGAGTTCAAGGGAGAAGCTATGGGGAGGCAGGCGGAAGCGGGGTCTCCTTCCATTCTGGGGGGGGGGGGGAGATATTTGAGGAGAAGAAGACCCCCCCCCAGCCCAGAACAAGGGGACCCCCTGGGCCTGTGACTGGGAATCCCTCTGGAGGGGCTGAGAGAGGGGGGAGCGGAGGGAAAGGGCCCCTCGCTCAGGAACCCCCCAAGTGGGAACCCGCCAGGGAAGCGGGGCTGCGTCCAGAGCCTTGAATGGTGAGTGACACCTGTCACACCTCAGTCAAGGAACCAGAGGGAAGAAGGGGCAGAAATGGAGTTCAACATTGGACCATCATGTCTG